GGGGCATTGGGTCTGTGTCTTGTGTCATAAGGTGTTAACACATTACTATTTCTTTTAATTAAAAAAAGCGGTGCACTCAAGTTGTACTGTATGCCTGGCATGTTTTATACAATTGTGAGGCATCGTGGTGAAATCAGGCACTCGTCAATACATGTAATTAAATCGAAGAAACCGGTATTTTTCCTCAGGTTTGGCAATTTTGATCGACTTTTTGTTTCTTGGCTATACACCTTTATACCTTGTAAATCCATTTAAAAACTCATATCTGTGCGGATTTTACTGAAAAACTTTGATTAAAGGCACAAAAAATTATAAAAGTTCATTTTCTAAAGAGCATCAAGCTACGGAAGTTACCAAATTTTTGTGGCCATTCTCTCGCTAATTTTACCTCTGATGCCAGGCGAATGCGACCTCAACCTCGTTGAAGTGCAATGTTTTTACTTTTATTCAAGATAGATAACTATTTCTTACATCGAGGGAAAGACAAAAGAGCGAGTTGAGATGACATCCATTGCTGCATGCTGTCTTCCCACACGGTGGGTTTTTTTTCTCAAAGTTATGTCCCTCCGTTCACCATTCTTTTTGTTTTCTTTAATTCTTTTTACCGCTCTTTCTTTTTCTTTCTTTCCCTTTATTATGCCCACAGTGGACACACCAGCTCCGGGTAGATTTTACGACCAAAAATGGCCGCGACTACAACTTCACCTACAACCTTTTCCGGATTCTACCGGGGCAACAACATTTCCGCCTGCAGGTTGCTGAGCCTGATCCCCCTAGCCCAGAGAGCAAATCTCTTCTGGAGTTGAACGACATTGGTTTCACCAATGCTGACAAGTACAATGGTCCGAGTGGAAAAATCTGTTCTAAGAGCTATTCGAGCGGGTGGTGGTACACGGGCTGTGACGTGGACACAAAAGTGTACCTGAACGGTCAGAAGTCGTTGAATTGGGTGGACTCGAAGTGGGCGCCGCTCACAGACAATGACCCAATTGTCAAATCGGAGATGAAAATACGCAAGCTTGTTTGATTCCTCGACGGGGAAGGAGGAGAGGAGAGGAAGGGGGAATGATGCAGTGATAAAATAGGGCTGGCGTTAAATTTGACTTTGTCGTTAAGTATGGAATTAGATGAAGGCAATGTCTATGATATGATGCATTAAAAAACACGGTTTTGAACTGACGTACTGGTTCGATCTGTTCTATTTCTCTCTGGAGTAAGAGTTGTTGTTTTTTTCGTGTTTCTCGGAATGTCTTATTCCTAAAGAGCAGAGAAATTTACGACATGTAGCGGTTAAAGATGCTTAGGGACCGTTCACAAACTGACGTCAGCTCAGGGGAGGGTCTCCTTGCAAAGTTGACTACAACCGTAGTGCTCCAAAAGGTTGGGTAAGAAAAAAGAAAAGAAAACAAAAGAAAAGAAGAAAAAATAGTATAGACTACATGTTCTTATTTACACAGTTAAATAAACAATAGTTTTGGGGTTTTTTATATAAAAAATATCAAAGGTGTGGATCTCTCTCTCTCTCTCTCTCTCTCTCTCTCTCTCTCTCTCTCTCTCTCTCTCTCGCTATGTTGATTCGAACCCGAGACTTGTTGAAGGAGAGGCGAAGACATTACCTCAAGACCGCGAGAGCTTGCCTCTCTCTCTCCGCTCTTCTCGCCCTCTCATACTCACATCAGTTAGTGAAAGTCAAAAAGCAATCGAACAACGACACAGAAACTAGATAGTCGAACCCCTGGATCCAACTTCTGATTCACACTCACCGTCAATGCACCATGGATAGTTCATGGGGATCATTGTTTTCACTGTACATACAGAGGGTTTCAAAACCAGAAACAGCATACTTCACTAGTATACTTATCATTGGGTAAAAATTATTTCAATTTATGTTTTACATGGCCAGCGGCGTGATTCAACCGCCAATGTGCCAATGGAAAAGTAATTTTACAGGAGAAGAAAAACACTGTTTTATTTATTTATGCTCGCACATATGAATCTAAAATTCAAATATATAATATACTTGTAATATGGGACGCTTACTGTTAAAAACAATCAGGAAAATACAAATGCAGTTTTTGGGACACCTGAATAGACATAAAGGTCTTGAACATGTAGCTCTCAGTGGCAAAATTGAAGGCAAATGAGGCAGGGTTAGGCCCAGAGCAACCTACTAGGGAACCTAAACAAATGGGTAACGGGGAAAGATCAGGGAAACGTAGCTTTTTTAAAGAGCATCCGAGCAAAGGAATGCCGATGTCTGTCGCAGATCTGGCACTGGATGGTAAGGATGATGATGATGATGCAGGACTATGGTCTGTAACCAACATTTCAAAAAATTGTTTTCTTACATAAGCTATAGCCGGTTGAGACTTGCACAAATCTACGTGATTCAACCGCCTAAGTGACAGAATGACGGAATCTAGACATTAGAATCACGTTAATCAACGCCACTCGGCGAGTGCCAATGGTCGCTTGGGCGTTTGAGTTATCCACAAAAGCAAATTTTAATCATAATGCTTTTAAGAGTAATTATAAAGCCTTATCTTTCTTATTTCAGTTATTTTTCCACAAATATTTAATAAAATAGTTTTTTGGTTTTTTTAAAACTTGAAAACAGAAAGTGTACATGACACGTAATTTGAAATGTGAGGCAGCGTGGTGGAATCAGGCGCTTGTCAGTTTTTGGGCATATAGAGTTATTGGTATCATCTTAAAGCCTGTTCACTTGTCTTTATTTGGGTTTTAAAAAATCCATTAATCTTGAATATAAATAGAGATATTTTCGAAAGAAGGAGGTGGGGGTCACCTGTTTTCAGAGGTAAAATTAGTGAGAAAATGGCCGCCTAAGATTTGTTTTTTTCCTTAGCTTAAGAGTCCGCGGTAACTGAAAATTTTCATTTTTTGCGCCTTTAATCAACGTTTTTCAGAAAAATCCACACATGAATGAGTTCTTTAAATTGCATGAAAGATGTTGAGACAAAAAACAAAAATTTGATAGAAATTCACAAACCTACAGGAAAATGCATATTGTTTCTTCACTTTGATTATTTTGACGAGAGCCTGATTCCACCACGCTACCTCACAAAGTATGTATATTATTTATATCCTTCCTAACTATTATAGTGTTTTACAAGTTCAGATAATAATGTTTAAAACCATCCAAATAGTTATACAAACATTTTTTTTAAAGGAATGTTTTGTTTAAACATATTCATTTCAAAAGGGACTAAGGTTTTTTTTTTAATTGGGGAGGTCATGGGGCTTCCACAGTAAAAATTCTCGACACACTCTCATGCCACCTCATTCTATTCTTGTCTTAATTTTTACTCACAACACTTCCCCTGAACCGTTCTAAAATTTAACAAAGAAGAAAGACAATGTAAATAATATTCCTGTGGTTAACATGATAACTTATCTTGGTTAATTGACTCCTGGTGTCTGAGATTATCATAAAAAGAATCACCCTTTTGAGTCTCTATTTGATAGCTGAATTTTCAGGCGATCCAAGCACATCGTGGTTGGGTCTCCGGGGGTAGAACTGTTTTTGGCCTTATGGAGTTGGTGAAAAAGACCATTCATCTTAACGTCCAATCTGTGCTGGATGTTTCTGTTCACTGTGTATCAAAGGCAACGGACGTTTGTGACCCGCCAGGTCTGGATGGTCCAGAAATCGAACATAAAAAGGGGGGGGGGGGGGGGGGGAGAGGGGATGGTATTGTCTTGTTTTCTTTAAAACTTTAGTATCATTTCCAGAGACAGTTCGATTACACTGTGAGTGCTATCCACTTTCATTTTTGTTTATCCTTTTTTTCAAGGTATTTGTGTTTAAACAGATGTGCTCCATCGGGTACAAATGTCGCTGATTGCATTTAACAAGATATAGAGTTGTGTTCTGATAAGTACAGTACTGGTATGGGATCAAATGGCATTGGGCCACATTGCCGGAATCCTTCGAAAAATGTTTTTTTTTTGGTGAAAGGCACTCCAAGAAGGGAGCATCACAAACACAACCTCACAACCCAGTATCACAACAGACAGCCAAGAACATCATCAAATGCAACACCAGGGAACAGTGGCTGAATGGATGGGCAATGGGCAAAACTGGAAGAACTGTATTTGCACACATGACAGCCCCCAACTCTAAAGATGCAATAAATTCCCTCAGTAGAAGAGAACAAGTCACGATATTTCGCCTGCGAACACAACACATACCACTAAATTCCTACCTTAATAGGATCCACAAGGATACCCCACCCGACTGCCCGTTGTGCGACTGCCAGGATGAAACAGTACCACATCACCTCTTTAACTGCCCAGCACTTTGTGACCTGCGTAGCACCTACCTACCTGCCTCCCCAGACATCAGAAACACTCTATACAGCAACAAAGCACAGCTGATTAAAACCTGTCAATTCTTTGCCGTATCGACAGACCGAAGGGCTAGAACCCAAATGGCCCCTGGATCGGAAAAGTAAAGTAAAGTAAAGTAAGTGAAAGGCACCCATGGCTCCAAAGTTCTTTCACAAGACTGTGAAAGGGTTCTTTTCTTACTGGAGTGCCAAACTTCTGCCTGGCAAACTTAAGGGGGGGGGGGGGGGGGGGGTCCCTCCTATTTTTGGTCAATCTGGGTCAAATTGGGTATTACAATATTTTTTGCCTTTTCTCTGTCGTTTCCCTGTTGATTTGATTGTCATTTGGCACAATCGTAGTTAGTTGGATGCCCAACATTTTTTCTTCTTACATTGTTATTTTATCTTCACTAGTTAGTGAGGTATCTCATTTTTTGTAAAAAATATTTGATTTTTTAATTTTGGACACATTTTTCGATACTCCTCTGAAGATTACAGGTGTATCTTGATGGCACTTGGCATACTTGTTGCCCTTTGGGGTGGTTACATTACAAAGTCAGCGGGTTTTTTTATATCTATCTTGGTTTTCATTTTATGATTTTAAAAATTTGGAAAATTGACTGTTTTCTGCATTTTGGACAAGATTTGCACGCTTCTTCCTGTAACTCCGAAACGAAATAAGATATCGAAAGATACTGGCTATGTTTAGCTTATATGCCTCTTGGGTACATGTGTGCCAAAGGACAATAAAATCCATCGGTAAATTTCAGAGGACCCCCCCCCCTTAAGTAGAATCTTGTCCCAAGCAGTTTTGGCTGGGCCATACACCCCTACATCGAGAGGCTGAAGCACACTAGTGGAATTTGAGGGAAGTTTCAGAAGAATGACATTTTCTGCTCGTGCAGTATTTACGAGTTCCAGAGTCACATGTGAAGCGTGTCCGTCAAAAATTAACATCACCGGACGTGCTTCTGGTAAAGTGGTTTTTGAACCCGTCAAGAAATGTCTCGCTGTCCATCCATCCGTTATCTGTTACATTGAGACTGGTTCCCGCTGGTCCATCTTCCCTTCACTTTTGGCGGAGATTGTTAGCCAAATAAATGCTGTACGGAGGTAGCATTGTTCCGTCTGCTGAGCAACAAGCATTCACGGTAATTTGTGAGGCAGCGTGGTGGAATCAGGCTCTCGTCAATTTTTGGGCATGTAGAGTTATTGGTACCATCTTACTTAAAGCTTTTTCACTTGCCTTTATTTGGATGAAAAAAATATCCATTTATCTTGAATATAAGTCGAGATATTAGCAATTGAAGGAGCTGGGGGGGGGGGGGGGGTCACCTGTTTTCAGAGGTAGAATTAGTGAGAAAATGGCCGCCAAAGATTAGTTATTTCTTTAGCTTAGGGGTCCGTGGTAACTGAAAATTTACTTTTTTGTGCCTTTAATCAATGTTTTTCTGAAAAATCCACACTGGAATGAGTTCTTTAATGAGCATGAAAGGTATGGAGCCAAAAAACAAAAATTTGATAAAAATTCACAAACTTGCGGGAAAATGTAGGGTTTTTTTACTTTGAGTATTTTGACGAGAGCCTGATTCCACCACGCTGTCTCACATTTGCTCTCTCCCGGATCCTCCTATGACGTTAAGAAGCTGTCTCACGCCCTTTTTTACAGAAGGCCTTAGACTTCGATGTGTCGAGTGGCTATCCACTCTCGTCCACATTAAAGATGCGAGAAGCATCATTTAGAATTCCACTTTCTGTGCACAGTGTTTAAAAGAGATTGGAAAAATCCTCGAAAATCTCTTTGTTTGTGATGGCTTTAACCCTGGAGTTTTTGGGGGTTTTTTTTACTGTTCAGGTTTCCTTGAAGTCAGGTCCGGGTGGTGACTTTCAAAGAGAGACATCCTCTCTTCTCCAGGCATGCCATTGTTGAATGAGTTCACTGTGTCATGAGCTCTAACTCAGCAACAAGTTCTTTTGTTTCTTGACGTGTGAAGCCGAAGCCCCAGGAACCGAAAAGTTCAATGCAGGCAACTAAATAACTTCCAAAGTCTTTGTTTCGAATTTATTGTGTCTTTTATTTCAATAACAATACAAAGTCACGCTTGACACATGTACCGGTGAATACACGAACAACATAGATACTTGAGGACGCACGAATAACAGGTGTGGACGAACATACATACAACAGAAATCAACGGAATATCCTCCAGCAACTAACTCTTCTTCTGTGGTGGTACTTAATACGGTTAGTCGGTTAGTCATCAAAATACTTCAAACATAAAAAAGAACATGATCTATTAAAAGCAACACAGAAGACTTTTTTCTTCTCTTGTTCACACAAGGGTAATAATAAGTGGAATTGTCCTGAGTACAATCTGAACTACAGCAAACTTAAAACAACATGCTATTGACAGGTATATAGACAAGGCAAATTCAAAACCTCCTTAAAGCCCCCCAAAATGTTTCTTTATAATAATTTTTTATTATTTAACATTAGGAAATTTCACCCCTATAATGGATTGGAACTTCCCAACCCCCATGAGCCTATACATTGCCTTTCCCGAGATGATTAGCAACAGCTGATATAGCTCAAATGACTTTTTATCACCAACATACTTCCAATCAATATTCCTAAATTTTGTGATTCCTCATTCCATCATACATTTTATCCTGTTTTGTCTTGTCGGCTATTTTGGGGTCGCTGCAGTCGGAACATGTCCCACTCTGCTGTCCCCCCCCCCTCCCCCTCTTCAGGATCCATCCCAGAGTCTGTCTGCTTATAGACTAGCAAAGATACTATCTTTGCTTATATAGTCTCCACCATAATATTAATCTGGTTGGAGATCCGTCGGACTGATCCGCACTGATCAGTGATATTCCGTACATCAAAATTGAGTGCAATGCATTATATAAAAGTACAAAAGCATTCTTAAATCTACATCTTGCGATGTTCAGGGATATGTATACACACCCACCCACACACACACACACACACACACACACACATTCACATACACACACACACACACTTGCGTATTAATCATAACCACACACGCGCGTGAGCGCTCACGCACGCACGCACACACACACACACACACACACA